CTCTGTCACCCAGGCTGGAGTGCAGTGGTAAGATCATAGCTCACTGCAGCCTCTAACTCCCGGGCTCAAGAGATCCTCCAACCTCAGCCTCCCAAGTAGCTGGAACTATAGGCACATGCTGCCACACCTGGCTAATTTTTAATTTTTTTTTTTTTTTTTTTAGAGACAGGGTCTCGCTATGTTGTCCAGGCTGGTCTTGAACTCTTGGATTCAAGTGATCCTCCTGCTTCGACCTCCTAAAGTGCTGGAATTATAGGCATGAGCCACTGTACCTGGCCCTACAAAGAACATTTTACATTTTTCCATGGGGCCAAGGACCCATGGAGTCCTTGGGGCCTCATTCCTGCTCTCCCGTCCAGGCCAAGACCCTCTGCAATCCTTGAGAGGACAGGCTCTGTACTGTGGAACCCACAGTGCATGGCCACCTTCTCCTTCTGAGTATTCTGAGTCCAAGATGGGGCCTGCGGCTTCCTGACCCCACCAGCAGGGAGGAAGAGGCTAGAGGACACAGCCCAGGTGGATGGGCTCAAAGTCAGAACACCTGTTTCTCGTCCTGGATCCTGCTGACTTGCTGAGTGGATTTGGGCAAATCCTTTTTTCCTTTATGAGAAAGGATAATATAGCTGGGCTCGGTGGTCTTGCCTGTAATCTCAGCACTTTGGGTGGCCGAGGTGGGCAGATTGCTTGAGGTCAGGAGTTTGAGACCAGCTTGGCCAACATGGCAAAACCCTGTCTCTACTAAAAATACAAAAATTAGCCGAGTGTGGTGGCACACGCCTGCAGTCCCAGCTATTCAGCAGACTGAGGCGGGAGGATCGCATGAGCCTGGGAGGTGGAGGTTGCCGTGAGCGGAGATGGCGCCACTGCACTCCAACCTGGGCGACAGAGTGAGACTTCACCTCAAACAAACAAACAAACAAACAAACAACCCACCATAGTAACTATCACTTCCTGAGAGCCACGCACGCATGTGCGGGCTCTGTGCCTCATAGTCACGTCTCTCAGTGAATTCTAGGTGATCCTGCAGATGGGTCCTATTACAATTCCTGTTTTCCAGATGAAGAAACTGAGGCTCAAGAGGTGCATTACTGGAGTAAGGTGAGAAGGCTTTGTGCTGAATCCTGGATTTGATCCAGGGCATCTGACTCCAGCGCCTTTCCTGAGCTATATATATGAAACCTCCCTGAAATAGCTTTCATTTTATGGAGCACGTGCTATTTTCCAGGAACTGTGCCGAGTGCTTTGCATCCATTTATCTTCTCGAATCCTGGCTCCATTTCATTATAATCTCACCTTAAGTGTCACCTCTTTGCGATGTTTTCTGAGGTTTCTCAGTGAGTTCGTACCTCCCCCACTACATTGCCCACTCTGGCTTAGTTCCTTCATAATACTTTTTCTCCTTTTTTTCTTTTTTTTTTTTTTCTTTTTCTGGAGACAGAGTCTTGCTCTGTCACCCAGGCTGGACTGCAATGGTGCGATCTCAGCTCACTGCAGCCTCTGCCTCCCGGGTAGCTGGGATACAGACACGCGCCACCATGCCCAGCTAATTTTTGTATTTTTAGTAGAGATGGGGCTTCACCGTGTTGGCCAGGCTGGTCTTGAACTCCTGACCTCAGGTGATTCACCTGCCTCAGCCTCCCAAAGTGCTGAGATTATGGGCGTGAGCCCCCACGCCCGGCCTCTTCTTTTTTTTCTTTTAAATAAATATTATTATGATGATTATTTTTCAAGACAGAATCTCACTCCATCGCCCAGGCTGGAGTGCACTGGCGCGATCTCGGTTCACTGCAACCTCTGCCTCCCAGGTTCAAGCAATTCGATCTCGGTTCACTGCAACCTCTGTCTCCCAGGTTCAAGCAATTTGATCT